TTGGTAGCTTAGAAAAAAGCCTTACCTCAGAAAGTTTCAGTTATTTAAACAGTACTGTTCAATGGAAATCTATTGCTCATCAGAGTATTTTTCTCTAGATCTAAATGAAATATGATTAGCTGCTAAATATACCAGTTTTGTTTCAAATATTTTGGGGTGTTTTGAATCTCATTTTTCTTCTGGAAGAAGTTGTGGCCTAGAACTTGAAAAATACTTAAATCCATTTGCTTTGCTGCTGATAACTGTTTCTGTTTAGTGGTGTTTTGAATCTCATTTTTCTTCTAGAAGAAGTTGTGGCCTAGAACTTTAAAAATATTTAAATCCATTTGCTTTGCTGCGATAACTGTTTCTGTTTAGGTTAAGTAATCATGTAGATTGCTTTTCTTATTACCTCAGAAGGATTAGATATAGATCCAGCTGCAAAAAGGAAGACTGAGTTTTAGTGTCATAGTTGTAGAAATGTTGTGTTCCTGCTGTTGTGACTTACTTAAAATCTGTTTGTGTCAGTTAGTAACCTCATTGCATAAAAATGTGTTTAAAACTATGTGCCCTACCAGTTTTGTTTTCTTGAAAAGGATGTAATAATAAGCTGGCTTGAAATAATGAACTTGCTGAAAAACTGGGTTGTGACGGAGTAAATAATGAACTTGCTGAAAAACTGGGCTGTGACAGTGTGTGTGAAAATGATAGTAAAGGGTCATCGTTTAATTGGAATCATTATGTGAGTCCTGGATTCAGAGCACAGAACATTTTCCCGGTGAATTTCATGTGCTGACATCCATGAATTGAATTGCAAGAGGAATAGAGAGCTGTTCATTCACTATAGTCTTCTATAAAGAAACTCTAGAAATTTATAGCTCCTGGCATCCAACAGAGTAAGAGTTTTGTGGATAAAGACAGTCTGCTTATGCTAGTCCTGTTTATCAGACTGTGTTTTCCCAGATGGCACCACAAACACTAGCAGACTGCTGAAATCATTGCCAGGAGAGAAGAACTGTATAGGTGGTTTTTAGGGTGGGAGAGGCGCATTACAGAGGGAAGTCAGTAACGCAGTGGGAGAACCTGCAGGAGAATCACACAGTAACTGAGTAACATCTGGGACAAGAAGATGATTTAAAATGGAACTCATCTTTCTAGAATCTGGGAAGGGTGATAAATAGGTAGGGAAACTAGTAGAAAAGACAGTAAAAAGAAAAATATTTGGATAGCAAAAGAACCAGCAGGAGCAAAAGGAGAGCTGGAGAGTGCAGATGTATGCAAAAAGAATGAAGAGTGTGGCTGCATCTCAAATTCTGAATCGCTCTCCTTCTTCCATAGCGGTGCGTAAGAAGAACCTTAATCTTTTTCAAGTCTAGTCTAACCTACAGTGTGTAGAATACAGAGCTGAAAATCCTGAGGGAAGGAGAACACAGATAACAGAACTAGGAAGTGAAACTGCATTCTGAGTACAAGATATTGAGGATGGCAGTGCCCTGAAGGGTATTAACCTTTCAGTGATGATAAAAGGGGCACAGAAGAAAAAGAGAATAGAGAAGTGATAGTTGAAACAGTGAATTAAAATGTGAAAACACTGGAAATAAATAGTAGTTTATGTAAAACTTGTAGTTAATGTAAAACTTGAAAATGTACTGATGTGTGTTTTAGTGCTGACTCTGCCATGATCTGTGGTGAAATACTGAGGTTTACAATCTGTTCGAAGGACGTGGCTTGTATGTTAGTAAGCATTAGATCAGTTTGTGGGACAGCAACATCCAGGGGATGTCATTATTCTTGAACACATTCTGCTGGTTGTTTTACAAATAGTCTGTGACAGCAGGGTAAGGAAAGGGGCTCTTTTGTATCCTGCTGGCTAAACCAAAATGACATGACGGACGTCTTGTGTTCGGTGTTAATAACTTGGTGCCCTGTTCAGATCTGCTCTTGGCTGGATATAAAGTGTGTGTTTGCTGGACAGGTTCCTGAAGTTTATGAAGGCTTCAGAGTTTTGTGTAAAATAAGATAAAGAATTATCTAATACATATGTCTGTGGAAGTCATCTATGACTCCTGAATCATCCATCTGATACCTATTATAGAAAAGTAAAAATCTAAACACCAAATAGGTATGTCTTACATTTTGACCTACTGTACCAATTTAAAAGAGCCTGCAGATAAAAATGTGAGTATGCAACTATCTCATAAAAATAATGTTTACATTGCACCTTTTAAGAAGACATCAGCATTGTTTCAGCAAAAGTAGATAATGTATTGTACACTATTTAAATACTTTTTCACTGTGGAAAATATCCAAAGGTACACATGCATTGCCTGCCTTTGGAAAATTTCTCCTACAGTTTGTGTGGCATATGGACTTTCTGTTCTCGTTCTCTTTTGAGAATCTTCAAGAGATTTTGAGTTTGCCTCAGGGTTTAAAAGATTCCGACTATGTTAAAGGTGAAGTGACTTAAAACAGCAATTAAATTATTTTTAGCAAATAAAATATCAAAGCTTTCATTATTATGAGAATGTTCCAGACTTACTTGCTGTCTGACTTCACATGTAGGAAGACTCGGGCAACTCTAGACACTACTAAAGCCACTGACAAAATCCCACTGATTTCAAACAGGTCCAGAATGCATATTTTGCAGAATGCATGTTTTCTTAGCGATTAAAATATCTAAACATGAGGCTCTTCAGTTTTGTATTGTTTAGGAAAATACATTTGCAACATATGCTGACAATTCAGTATAATAGATTTTTTCCCTCTGAAGTGTGAACAATATTTTTAACTCCTTTAAGAAATTCTATTACAGTGTTGCCTACTATAGGAAACTGCCTTTTAGACAACCCTATCCGAAATTCTTAATGTGAACTCATGCATGTCTGTGTTTGAGCAGTGAAAAATAAAACCTAAGAAGTAGAAGCTTTCTTATGTTCCTTACAAATAAACTCTGTGTATGACAGCTGTGCTACTACATAGTTACTAGCTTGCTAGGGTGAAGGGACATAAGGACAGGTTTTTAAAGACTGTGCAGTTTTAGCACTTCATTTTCTGATTATTTAGGTAACTTATCTATTGGGCTAACCAGCAGTAACACTTGACATCTTTCACAGTGTCCAGTAAATGCTTTCATGTTCCTTCTGCACTGAGGAGAAAGATGGGGTTTGTAGCGGGGTTGGCAAACCGGTCACCACGCTGCACATTGCAGGTGCAATGCCCAGTCTGCTGACCAGTTTGCCAGTTGAAAAGTAATGCGGAAGGAAAAAGGAGACACAGAATATTACTTGTTGAGCTGAGTTGAAAAGTAATGCGGAAGGAAAACGGTGACACAGAATATTTTGTTGGGCTACTGCACTTTTCTGGGTGCAGCACAACTTGATGCAAGAATGCAGCTTAGGAGAGGAGGAGGAGAGGGCAGGATTTCCACTTTAGCCTCCCCGTGAGTGAATTAAGCACGATGTGACACACGCTGAAGCTGTAGGTCTGCTGCATTGTGTAAGCCAGCTCCTGGTTCCTCTCTGGCATCCTGGGTGTACGTTTCTGCTGTGAGCTGAGTGCTTGCTGTGTTTGTGTTCCTCCCTGTCCTACCCAGCACTCAGAAGCTCCTCAGATCCAAGCATGGTTCCTCTTAGGGAAGGAAGAATCATCCTTTAGGTGGTCCTGTCAGATGTGGACAGAGCAGCAGTCAAGACAACAAAACTGGCAGCCTTCCAGTCTCCTGCCAAGATTCTCCAACTCATCCCCTGGCAAAACACATCATACAGCATATGCATGATAAACTGTGGACAAATACACCTATCAGCAGTCTACCTTAGTGCCTTTCACCACAGGGCAGTCTTTTATTCTGCATGTCAGTGTACTGCCTAACATAGGTCAGGTTATAGTCAAAATAACAGCGAAAATGACGATGATGAACATGAGCTTAGAAGAAATCATCCTGTGTCCTCATGTGTCTGGAATAAAAATGCATTTTAATCTGATTTGATAAAATAACCTTACTGACGAAGTAGATGTTTTTGATTTGTAGCAGTGGTGTGAGATACTTGGCAATTATTTCTGTACAGAAAAGCTCTGTCTTTTGGGAGTTGGCTTGCTCTTCTTTAAAAAAAAATTTGAATTTTATTTTAATAGGAGTAATTGGAGCAGATGTGAAAGGACATAACCTGCCATGTGAAAGCCAGCCAATTACATCTCGAGTCGCTATGATCTGTGGAACATCTTCATGCCACATGGGGGTAGGTTGTATGTGTCGTCCTGGTTTCTGCAGAATATACTAACCGATGTTTTTTGAAGGGAAAAATGACCTTTGTGCTTCTCACCCTTTTCCGTTTCCTTGAATTTTTTTCTGGTAACTCAATCTTTACCTTTGGATATTAATTATATATTACCATGCATTTGCTTTTAAGCAAGGACTTTAATAGTAGTAGAAATCAATACTGAAAAATGACATGGAAAGTAAAACCCACGATGCTAGAGTGGCTTAAAGAGCAGCCTGAAATCTGAGCCAGTCTCTGAGCTGGTGTTATCTGTGACAAGCCTGTCACTAATGTGCTACAGAATAGTGTCTTTGGAGAAGGAGTATGTGTCTTCAGCCACAGCCCTTCTCCCCACCTCTTCACTTAATCGATATAAATCCTTCTACCTCTGAAAGTTCCCATGATCTATAGAGTTACGATACGCAACATGACTAAAAAGAAAGAAAAACCCTGATAAGCAATTTTCACTTTGCTAATTTTTCTCAGTGAATTAATATAAAAGCTTTTTCTGAGATTACAATTAAAATTTAGTGTCTGCTTTTGAAATTTATACCTTTTTAAAATGTATGAGTCTGAAAGCATTCCATTTAGATAAGTACCCGTTTCTGACACATTTTTTATTTAAAACTCATTTCAATCTTAAATTTAGACTGATTATAATGTGAAGCTTTCCTAAACAAGCAAATGGCAATGGGAGTGCTAGAGGTATTTAGAGGGGACTAACATGCTTCATGGAGAGAGCTCCAGTGGAGTAAAAGAAAGGAATAATAGTAATAAAATGTCAGGCTTAACAGTAAGTTACGATGTCTTCACAGGGGCACCGTGAATACACGGTGATCGTGAGCGTGAATAAACGGTGATCTTGTCACTTGGATTGTAGTTCAGCAAAGCGTTTAAGCACATGATTGAATTTAGAGTTGTGAATAATCCCAGTGTCGTGAAGCAGAGCATTTAACAAAAGCTTAAATCCTGTAGACCAATTGAAAAATACGTGGATACCTTCCTAATCAAGAGTGTTGACCTTCAACCTCCATTGCTCTCAGCTTATTCTGGCTCTGGTATCTCTCTGTCACGGTGCAGGGAGGAGGGCACCCTGCAAACACCAGCTCTGGCGGAAGAAGTTACCCTTCGAGTCTGCCATTCCTTTTACTATTTCCAGTATTTTTGATGGAGGTTTCTGCCCTTTCAGAAGCAGCTGTTTGTGTTAACTTTTCCTAACCTGTTTCATTTAACTGAGTTAGTCGAAATCGTTCAAATGAATTGGGTTAGGAGAGACATAATACTGGGCCAAAATGAGCTCAGACAGTTTCCCCAAAAGGTCTAAGGGCGACATTGAGCAGCTGGAAATGGTCCAGCTGGCTCTAACTTACTCCTTTAGTATGACTAGCTCTGGAGGAGGAGTTGTGTGTGGTTATTTATTAATTTTTGATATATGTAGATTGCTCAGTTCGCACATAGACCCAGTTCACTACTGCAGTTTGTTTTGCTTCCCAAACTAGAGCAGGGCGTATCGGCACAGACACTTTCACGGCACTTTCTGGGTGCGTACTCCACGACCACGAGAGATGCGGCTCCATCAAACGTGCTAATGTAACAAAAGGGACATAATAAAGTCCATATTGATGTTAATCGCTGTTCTGTTCTGTCATTAAAGCAACCCCAGGGTCATACACGGACTGCATGCCATGGAGAACGTAGAACCTTTTAAGGCTTTTAATAACTTGAACACAAACTCGGGAATAGATGCTTGTGCAGTTTTTGGCTAGATTGCAGTAGATTTTTATTTAAATGTAACTACTCAGCATTTTATAATCATTTCCATAACTGCCTTCCTTTGCTCATCTGTTCAGAGGTATAATAAGCTCTAGCCAGCAGACAATAAGCAAATTCTAAGCTTCTCTGGATTTAATCTGTGAAAGGACTTTGTTTTACCATTCTTTTATCTATTACCTGCGCAGAGTGCATGAAGTGAATGTGGAGCACACAGAGCAGTTGTGTTTGTGTTTTAATGAGACCTGTATGCAGCTGCATTTGGCTGAAATTAGCCGTTCCTTTTTTTAATTAGGGCTATAAAATGAAAGTATATTATACTTGTGTTTTGATAGAAATATATATTTTCTCTCTCCTTGTGCACCAAGGGACCCTCAGGGCTACAGAGATTAATCATCGAGTTTAATTTAATGCAGTGGGAGAGAGACCTGTGTGGTCAGGCGGGCATTAAAAAGTGCCTTTGATCTGCCTCAGGTGCACTGAGCCCCAGTGAGCCAGCAACAATAATACCTTTGTGAGATGATCAGAGAAGAGAGAGGGAGAAAATGGCCTGTGTGGAAACTCAAGGCCATCCTTTGTTGTGGTTCTGGCAAACGAAAGAGCCAACTGTCAGGAGAAATTCAGCAAACAGAAAGCAGGGTGAAAGTACGGCTGGATTTCTTTCCAGGGATCGTAACAGGAAACTGTTCAGAATCATCTGCTATGCCTTTCTTCTCCCCCCACCCTTCCTGCTTTTTTGGTGAGGGCAGGGGTACTACTGCTGGTGTCTGTGTGCTGGTACAGTGTCTCCATTCTTGAGTCCGAATGCTCCATGAGGCACAGAAGCAGGTATGAACAGATGCTTGAACACAGCATCTACTTTAAGAGAAACTACTCCATGACCCAGTTTTCATTACCTCAAGGACTCTAGCGATCTTGAACAAAAGACTTTGCTAATCGTGCCTTTGATATTTTAGAAAGTACAAATGTGGAACCTAATTTTACTTGTGGCTATAATAGTTTAATTTGTGGTAGAACTACCATTTTTAAGTGTGGATACGCTTTTGGACCTAACCACTGACAGTTTGGTGTAATCAGACACACACAAAGCATTTTGTGTTTCTGTTGAGAATAGCTCATGCAAGAAGCAAAACCCCTGTTGTAATTAGGTTACTGATCCAAGTCCAGGTCTGAGTTGGTAGTTGCTGAAAGTCACTGCCACCTCAGGGCTCATCCATTATCCATGAGGAAAAAGAAAAGAAAAGATGGCTTTCTGAATATTTTTGGACAGTTATTCATTTTACATGATTCTCTGCTGCCTCCTTGCCCTCGCAGCAGTCACGGGCAGAATTTGCATTTGGAATGGCAAATAGGCTTGTGAAGGGTCATCCCTTAGTTTGGGACTGGGATGCATTTGCTGGAGCGTTGATCTGCCTGTGTGGTGTAGGTATTCCTTTCAAGTGACAGATGCTCGGTGGCGGACTTTTCCAAGTGGGCTGCTGTATGGCGGCGTGCTTTGCAGACAGGCTCCCTAAGCTCCAGCACCCACACGTACTTTTGGAGGCTTCAGGAGACTTACTCTGTGTAGCCATGGTGACTACGCTGAATGTGCGAGTAGTTTTTCACGGTGAAATAGCAGCAGGTTTGAGGGACTGAAATAGGAGCTTGCATGTTATACCTAACTAGTAGTTTGCACGGGTCTAACAGACATACCATAACTTCTGGGAATACAGCAATTGATTTCCCTAAAAGCTTGTCTTGCTGCCAGTGTCTTTTGGGTTTTCTGGTGGGTTTTAAAGGTTTGAGAAATCCTTTGTTTTCTTCTGAAACTTTTATGTGATCAGAGGGATTTCCAGTACGGATATCTGGGTTATCTTGTCCCAGCCTGAACATAAGCCTGCTTGCCCTTTTGCAGATCATAGAGAATTGAGTTAATGCTCGGGTGCCAGTTACCAAACAGCAAAATAGTGATAGGAACAAGCAGTGTGACAGGGGACTTGGATAGAAAGGTCTCCTTGTATTCCTTGGAGCACATAATCTAGCAGTACTGCTGCTTGTTTCTGGTTTTACACTAAAAGAGGGTAGATTTAGACCAGATATATGGAAGAAATTTTTATGATGAGTTGTGGTGAGGCACTGGTGCAGGTTGCCCAGAGAGGTGGGAGGTGCCCCATCCCTGGAAACATTCAGGCCAGGTTGGATGGGGCTCTGAGCAACGTGATCCAGTTGAAGATGGCCCTGGTCATTGCCTGGGGCGGAGGGTTGGACGAGATGAACTTTAAAGGCTCCTTCCAACCCAAACCACTCTGCTTCTGTTCTATAAATCTTGTAGTTTCCCATACCTGGTATCAGCACAGAACTCTTCTTGCAGGCACTGACTTCACATCATCAAAGTAAAATGTTTTATTAGTCTGTAAGGTTTTTGTCAAAGTGACTACAGGTTTGAGTAAATGTATGTGACACCTAACAGGCTGGAACCAGACTGGGACTGGTTTTTGGTAGCCAGAGGTTGTGCAAGGAATTTGAAATAACTTAAAATGGTAAGCAGAAATAAATGATAGTTTTGGAGTGGGAATACTGAGGGTGCTGAGGGTTGTGGAGTCGCTAGGAGGGCACAGCCCCTCTTCCCCCAGACTAGGACTTTTATGGAGGACAAGGAAGATGTGCACACAGAGCTGCAAGATTTAGAACTCCCGACGCCCATTGTGAGAGAGGGCAGGGATCTTCTTTTACAACACCCCATCTCCTATTTTGTTGTCTGCAGTATGGGGTAATTTTGTGTGTGTACAGCATGTGTGCTATTTATACATATTGAATGAAGTAGGAGAGCCGCACGTAAAATAGCCCTGTTCATAAATTGTGTGAAAACTCTCATTTCTGTCTGTTTTGTGGTGAATTAGGCTCACTTAGAGATCAGTGTTCGGCTTCGCACTTGTCCCAGAACAGTTGTTCCATTATGAAAATATTTATCATTCTTGCTCTAACACCTTTTTGGATTCACAGCTGAAGGAAGTAGCCAGAGCAGCTCCTAATGGGAACATTGTCTGGCCCGATTTCGGCTTACTGAGGCAGGGGAGGTCTGAATTTGGTGGCATTTTGAGTCCCAAATATACAAGGTCTGTGATCCTTCCTATCTTGTCTCTGATTCTTTTATCCAGTCTTCATTTGGTGATGTGTTCTGAGTGCTTCTTTAGTCATTCCTCCTTCTTTATCAGCTCTCTGTACTCAAA